AATCATAGGAAGCTAATTAGCAATCACTAATAGCCTTATTTAGATGAGGTCGTTCCCTATCTTACCTTTTTTTTTTTTTCTCACCTATTTTCAGTTTTGCTGCTCCTAACTTTACTGGTCCTGTTACTTGCAAACTTAATTTTTGCAACTTTTCAATGCAACAGTCTAGTGCTCTTTCAGGATTCCCTCTGAAGGGCCCTACAATCGAACGTTGCGTTAAAGGTACTAATTTTCTACACCTTACAGAGACTATACGTGATTTACTTTGAACCGTAATTCTATTTACAACACATTGTACTTCCCAACGATAATAAGCAAGAATTTTCTGTTCAGGAGACTCACAAAGATTTAAAACTACATATGCATTTTGCCCCGTCTGTCTCCTTAATTCATCTTCCCAGTTTTTACCCCATGTGTGCTCATGCTCACAAATGTGACACCACAAATCCCATAATAATGATTGTTCTATCCAAAAAGTTCTATCACAACCCCCACAACGTAGGGCTATCTAGGCAGCACAATGTGGATCGTGACAGTCAAGGCAAGGTGCCTTTGCTGGATTTGTTAAACGAAAAGTTGATAATGAGTCAATAAAACCAATCAACTCCTGGGCCGTCCGATAGTGACGTGTCAGTGCTCTGTCCACCGCTTTCGAGTGTCCCTTCAACTGTAACAGTAGCGGTTGTAGGACTAGAAGCAGTTTCTTCCCCAGTCGCTCCTTGTCCTCCTCCGTGAGGCAGTCCACCAGAGGCTGCATCAAAAACAGGTTTAGTCCACTTAGCAGGCACCCACAAAGGTCCTGTAGGTGAGGAAACACAAAGATATCCCTGACCCCAATATAATACTTTTGCAGGTTTTTCCCATAATCCTGTACTCGGGTTCTTATACTTAACCCAGACCTCTGTCTCCTCAGTATTTTTCTGACCTGACCTTGGATGATGTTTAATCGCAGGAGGGGTATCGTCTTCCTCAAAAATACATAAATGATTGATCACATACAGAACCTTAGCCAAGCATGATTGTGGATCTCTCAAATCTTCATGCTTTTCAATATACTGTTTAAGGGTACCATTTGCTCTTTCCACTATTGCCTGTCCAGTAGGAGAGTGTGGAATACCTGTCACATGCTTAACAGACCACTGATTCAAAAATTTCTGGACCTCAGCATTTACATAAGCTGGACCATTATCTGTTTTAATACTCTTTGGAACTCCCATGACAGCGAAACAACTTAACAGGTGCCTAATAACATGTATAGCTTTCTGTCCTGCCTGAGCTGTAGCCCATATGTAATGACTATATGTATCTATAGTGACATGCACACACTTAACTTTACCAAATCTAGCTATATGTGTAACATCCATTTGCCATTTCTCATTTATTTCTAAACCTCGAGGATTAACTCCAATGCCTAAACCTATTCCACCATTATGATAATTACATGTTGGACATGCTCTAACAATAGCCTTAGCTTCTGACAAACTCAGCTCAAAGTTCCTTGCTAATCCTTTTGCATTTTGATGATATTTACTATATGCTTCTCTGGCCAATGTATGCTTTTCAATAGGACAAGAGTTATCAATGGGTAGGGTAACCAATTTATCTGCACGTTCATTCCCTTCTCCTAAACCTTCAGACCATTTATGACTCCCAATATGAATCACAGAATACGCTGCATTTCTCTCCCGTAAAGCTTTCCTTAATTGTATCAATAACTCATACAATCGTTTATTATTCGCTTCCTTAATTGCTCTATTCGTCTGACTACTCCTGCAACATACATAGAGTCTGTGACCACATTTAAAGGCTCCTGTAAGTTAGACATTGCCCATACTACTGCTAACAATTCCAAAATTTGTAAGCTATCTGCAGGGTCTGCTGTAAGGAGTTGATGCTTCCATTGTCCTTTTTCTTGCCAGGTGACAGCAGCATGCCTTGATTTCTTTCCTGCATCCGTAAAAGCAGTAATAGCTCCTGTATCCAATAATCCATAAAGGGTTATGCTTTGATGCCCATGGGTAATTTCCACCTTTTGTTTTGGTCTATTTTGTAAATCCACAGTTAAAAGTGTAACACCAGTAGAGCCAAAACCTTTTTCATTCCGTGTTTGCCCAGTAAATGATGGTATACCAGATGTCATTTGTGACAGTGGTACCAATTGCGCGATGCGTTGTCCTTTTGTTATTTTAATAGGAGGATAAAGGGTGTAAACCATAATTTGTATTTCCCCTGTATAATCCGCATCGATAACACCAGGCAATACAATGAATCCCAGCATAGTTATTGAAGAACGTCCTAGTAATAATGCTCCACATCTTTGTCCATTTAACATAAGAGGACCCTTTACTCAACTTGGTATCCTCTCAGGCCGGTTTGTCATTAGTGTGACATCTACTGCTGCTGATAAGTCCAAGCCGAGGCTCCCTGCTGTTGCTGGTTGCAGACAGGAGGTGACAGTGATGTTACGGCAGCAGCTGATGTCTCCGATGTCACGGCGGCTACTTGTGTCTGGGCGCGTATGTCCCTCATTGCCGCATCGGTAACACTTGATGAACGGTCTCAAGCCTCCTTACGTAACCGCCAGTGAGCCGCTTCGGAGAGGAGCAAGAGCAGCTAACACCTGATTCTGAGCAGCTAACACCTGATTTTGAGTAGACTCTGCTTACTTTTGGAACCCTAATCCTAATTCCTTTAAAGCTTCTGCTATAAATGCCTGTGACGCTGTTGGCATTAATGCCATTCGCTCTAAAGCTTCCTCAATAGTCCAATTTACTCCTAAAGTAGCTAACACTCTTTGTGTAACTGCTGATGCTGAGTAAATATCAACCGAACTATTCCTCTTAAATCATTTGGGCATAAAACCTGAGTATTAAAAAGACAATCTAATATTTGCCTAACAGGTTCACTTTTTACTCCAAACTGACTAACCGTAGAACGTAACTGAGCTAACAACTTCCAATCTAAGGGACTATATGCCGCTATATTATGCGTAAGGTTCCCCTCTGCATCATATTGTGGTGTATATGTAACCGGACATGCAAGACTAGAGGCTACTTCCATCGCCTCGCCATCCCCCATTTGCATTACTTCTTTTGCCACAGCAGCCCAAGCTTCCCTTCTCTGTTTAGCCATCTCCCCCCATAGATCACGGTGTGCCCCTGGGATGGGATCTGGCCCTGTAAGGGTGCTATGCTGCTGGCACTTCGGTACAGACACCGAGTTCTCGCACGGGGAAGGCAGTGGAGCAGGAGCCGGCTCGCGCGGGGGAAGCGGCCCCCCCACTGCTGGAGCTGACAGTGAAACCGAAGACGACTCGCGCGGGGGAAGTGACCCCCCCGCTGGAGCCGGCCCGCTCGGGGGAAGCGGCGGAGGCAAAGGTGGCGGCGGAGGCGAAGCTGGCTTGCTCCCACCCCCACCATCCGACCCGCCTGAAGCTGGCGGCGGAGGCAAAGCTGGCTTGCTCTTACCTCCACCATCCAACTCGACCTCCCCCTCTGACAGGAAGGGTGCAGATGGTTCCACTGTATCTAAAGGAAAATTTTCCACACCATTTTGCTGGGGACCCTTAGGCATAAATATCTGAGTTACAGAAGGTGCCAGGGGATCATCCTCACGACCATACCCTATATTCTTCTTATAAGCTTCTGTTGCCCTTTCTGCTGCCTTTCTCTCAGAAACCTGCTGAAGCAACGTGTTAAATACCACCCGCCATAACTTGCCAAATTTCTTTGCTGACTTATCATCATCTAACACTGTATCCCACAGGATATCCCCAAACTTTTTCCACTCTACTATCTCATGAACTGTATGTGGGTTAGCAAAAATCCCTTTAGAATTACCATAAGCTAATAACCCTGGTAATTCCTTTTTTAAATCTATCCCTTTTAGTCCTCGGCTTTCTAAATATGAGGAGAAGGGACCGTATGTCGCTTGCCTATCCATACCTATATATCAGCGCGCGCTGTTGCAGCCCTTCCAGGCTCCTGCGACACGTAGAGACTTGAGTCACCTTTTGTGATCCTCAAGGGTGCTTTTAAAATCCAGCACCGTCCCGGCTGCAAGGACTCTCACCCAACTTCCTCGACCATGGTGAGTTTCTTTGTAATCCAAGAAAGCAAGCGTTCAGGGGGTTGCCCGCATTCTCCACCATTTGTCGGAGGAAGGAGACCCAGACACCAATTGGTTCATACAAGTCCAATTTATTGATCAATACGGCGGGTTAAATACAGTTCTTAATAAGCTTCATACATATTGCAAAAGTTGAGCTCAGGATTGGTTAGTTACATCTCAGAAACTACACCTACTTCTACCTTCTTGTGCTTATTCTTCTCTTACATTCTGCAGATATTCAGGACTAATCTCACCTCCCTTTCCTCATGTTGCAGCAAGGCCATCCGGTATTCTTGCCTGTCAGCAGTCACTGAATCAGAGACTGCTGACCTCCCTTTCAAGCTTAACCAGCGGCAATTTGTCAGGATGGCCTTTCTCAGCTAACCAACTCTTAATAAAATCCTCCACAGGGCCCCGAGCTGAGGTTTGGGCCCAGGAGCTGAGAATGCGGGGCAGGGCCAGGGCAGGGTTGGGGCACAGGGAAAGGAATGGGGTCAGGGGCTGGGATTTGGGGGAAGGGTCTGGGGAACGGGGACGGGGGGACACAGCGATAAGGGTGGGGTCAAAACGATCAGGAGCACCATTACCCCAACCAGCAGCAGCAGCTTTGGAACAGAAGTAGGATCCAGAATCTTCGTCCTTGAGGTTGTTCATGGTCAGCGTCACCGAGCTCTGCCCGTTGTCCCTGGAGATCCTGAACCAGCCCTCGACTGAATCCGCGTAGCCGGTGCCTCCACCAGTGTTGATCCCCGCGAGCCACTCCAGCCCCTGCCCTGGTCTCTGGCGTAGCCAATCCATACCAAAATACCCAAAACTGAACCCAGACCCTCGGCAGAGGAGGCGCAGGGACCCCCCGGGGGGCTGGAGGTCCCCCCCGCACCCCAGAAGGGTCACGGCCGCCAGGAGCCCTGCGAGACAAAGGGGAGATGGGGATGAGAAACCTGATTGGTCGAGGGACTTAAAGCTGGTGTGGCCAGCTGGAAAAAGGGGCAGGACCCGCCTGGGGGGAGGGTGATGAACTCCAAGGGTCTCAATTTGCGGCCCAGAGTCAGGATTTGGGTCAAGGGTTGAGCTTTGGCCCCATCTCAATCTGCCCTTTGTCCCGCAGGGCTCCAGGCGGCCGTGACCCTGCTGGAGTGCGGGGGGGACCTCCAGCCCCCCCGGGGGGTCTCTGCGCCTCCTCTGCCGAGGGGCCGGGTTCAGTTTCGGGAGTTATGGAATGTACTGGATCCGCCAGAGACCCGGGCAGGGTTTGCAATACGTCGCAGGGATCCACTACAATGGCCACACCATCTACGCCCCATCAGTGCAGGGTCGGTTCAGGATCTCCAGGGACAACGGGAAGAGATCGGTGACACTGACCATGAACAACCTCAAGGACGAGGATTCCGCCGTTTATTTCTGCGCCAAGTGTGCTGCTAATATTTTCCCTGAACATGCTGCTCGTAGTGACGATGTCCAGGGTTTTCCCACCCCCATCCCCGTGTCCCCCCCGTCCCCGTTTCCCAGACCCTTCCCCCAAACCCCCAGCCCTCACCCAGACCTTCACCATTGATCCCAAACTTGCTCTGCCTCAGCCCCAATTCTCCCCCGCTGACCCCAAACCACAACTCCTGACCCCAAATCTCCTCTTTCTGCCCCAAACTTTGCTCTGAAGGTTGGGGTTTGAGGCCCGGGATCCTGATTTGGGTCAGAATTGGGGATTTTCATCAGTGGTGGCTGCTGGGGGCCAGCAGCGCAGATTTGGGCAGAGTCGGGCGAGTTCAGCCCAGGGATCCTGGCAGAGGGGCCGGGGCCAGCCCAGGAGCCAAAATGGCCCTGAGTGGGCCCCGATCTTAGGTGTGGGGCCAGGAGCTGAGAATGTGGGGCAGGGCCAGGGCAGGGTTGGGGCACGGGTGTGGGATTTCCGGGCTGTTCAGATGGTCTGGGGAAAAGCCCAAAGATGGCCTTGGGCCCCCGGGTTCGAAAGGACGAGAGGAAGCTTCAGATTTGTTCTTGGTCTTGGTGTTTATTAATTGCTTATCTAAAAGATTTTCTCTTGGCCTGACAGAGTTCTGCTCAGCAGTCAGCCATGGGCACACACTGAAAGCCCCTGGGGCGGTCACCTATCTTTATACCCGGAGTTATGTATACAATATTTATCATTTTTCTCCAATACCCTCTACCCTTATTAACCAGTGTTCCCCTAGTAAGGTCCAATCCCGGAGTGCCAACATCACCACAGAAGATGGAGGTCTAGAGGAAGAAGAAGAAGGAGAAGGGCACGCCCCAATTCCTCCATCTTACTTCTCTAGACCCCCCTGTACAGAAATCTTAAGCCCTGTATCTCACACCCCAATTAACTTGTCCCTTCACCATTCACCCCAGTGAAATCCTCCCATCCTCATACTGATGTCATCTCCCATGTGGGATCAAAGTCCAGCCACCAGACATCTCTGGCAGCATTCCAGGACTCCCGAGCCCCCCAGGGGGGGGTCTTGTTCACCCTGCACCCCAGTTCTGAGAGACTGAGATCCCACATCTCCCCCTTCTGTTTGCACCAAAAGACCCCTTTTTTTGCTTTTATGTGAAAACCCCCCAAAGTCCTCAGTTCTTTTCATTTCTCTTCTGGGTCGTTTTTCGCAGCCCGAGTCTCGACTTCTGTCTGAGTACTCGTCTCTCTGCTTCTTGGATCAGCATTCTCGTGTTCTCGCGTTCGGAATGGTTTCACGTGCCGCGCTGACACCCACTTCAGACCTCGATCTGTGGAGATACAAGCAAAACCCTTTCCCCAAATGATTAGTTTGAAAGGACCCTCTATTTAACCTGTTTCTGGGTTTCTGATCAAAACCAAAGGATTTTCCCTTAGCTTTGCCTATGTGTTGTTTGAACATTTTTGAGCCTCCCAAAAGATGGGTATTTCGTGACATCAGCTTGCCACAACTGAAGACTTTGCAGCCCCAGCGGATTGATGGCCCCGGTAGAAGAAGGTGGCTGCACAAGCTGACAGTCTGGATAAGCACTAATGATCTCCCTCGCATCTGTAGCACTGTCCTCCTTGGGGGTTGTTCTCTTCCTGCATTGCCGCGAGAATTTTGTTGATGTTTTCGTCCTGTTGATGGAGTAATTTTTCGAACATCTTCTCCAATGTCTTGTCCTCTGATTGCCCTTCTGAGCGTCCCTTTAGCTGTTTCTCCCATTCCTCTTTTAGTTCATCCTTTACAATCGCTGCGACGTGCTGAGGCGTCCCCACCTTGCTGCATGCCTCCACCATCTCTGCCAAGGATGGCCGTCCTGGCATGGTGCTAATCACCCGTTGACAATCCGGGTTGGCATTGCCGAAAGCTAAATTCTCCAAGAGAGGCCTCTTCACTTCTTCTGTTGTCACCTGTCGATCCACGGCTTGCGTGAGTCGGTCGATGAATGACATGAATGGCTCTGTGGGACCTTGCCTGATGCAAGAGAACGGGACATCCGGAGCTCCTGTCGGCGTAATTTGCATGATTGCCAATCGCGCTGCTTCTTTGATGTCGCTTAACACTCTCCGTGGAAGCCGCGCTGCTTGTTCCCCTGGATTGTCATCTGGAGGATCCCCTGCTAATTGCCCTTCTGTGAGGTTCGCATTCGGCCCACCTTGGTATCTGTTCCGCAACTCAGCAAGATATTTTCTCCACCTTTTTTCCCAGACAAGACTCTGTGTGTCAGTGAGGATCATTGCCACAATACTTCGAATGTCATATGGTGTGAGATCATACATAGAGAATGTCCCTCTTAATAGCTGTTTGAAGTATTGTGAGTTCAGCCCAAAAGTCTGAGCTGCCTTCCCTAGGTCTTTGAGTGTCTCATGACCCATCCTTTCCCACCTTGGATTCTGTCCCTGGGCATCATATGTCACTGGCATTGTCAAATCCCCTGATCCCGGGAATAAATGCTTTTCCTTTTCCAATGCTTTTCTGATTTGCCTCCAATCCATTGTCTTCACCGGCTCTTGAAACCCCTCTTCATCAGATTCCATTGGGATTTGCATGAATAATGGTGTTGTAGATGTCATCGGTGATTCATAGTGTCTCATTTTTTGCCTTGAGGTTTTTGGCCTTGCTCCTAAATCCGAAAAGGAAACTCGAGGATCCTGTTGATATTTCTTCTTTACTGTATCGAATGAATGCAAGAAGCTTTTTGCTGCTTCTGCTGCTGATAGCATCCATGTTGGGACACCTTCCGATGCTGTGATTCTTATGACATCTTCCCCTTGTAGCTGTTCTTCATCTGAGCTTTCATCATCTTCATGAAATCCCGAAGTGGATGGATAATCCCTTTGTCGTGTTAACATTGTTTTCTTCGAGGTGCTTTTCTTTTTATATATTGTTGGAAAAAATTGCTGCATTGTTGCAGTCTCGCCACGAGATGGCGCTGTGGCTCCGCCGAGCCGACCCGGCATGTCGTGCACTTCTGCCCTCCTGCCACTAGGTGGCGCTGTCACCGGCCTCCCTGGCTCGGATGACGAAGCAATCTCGACTACCCTACTTCCTCTTCCGGCTCGGCGTCTCCCATGGAGGGAAGGAACTGAAACTCCGAGGCTCGAGACTAAAGGCACCAGATCTGGAGACGGTGTGGAGCCGCAGGACGTAGAATCCCTAACACGGCCCCTCCTCACCCTCGACGTCACAGGGGACCGGGCTCGGGCCCGCCCGCGTCTTACTCTCTGCGCGTGCGTGCTCTCTGAGCTACTTCCGGTGTCCCCCAGGGTGACGTCATCATCGTCTCCCCCCTGTTTCACCTCCGAAGTTCCCGCCCCTCGGTCTGTCCCAGAATCCGACCCCTCCTCCTCTGATGTTGTGTTCGCCTCCCCCGCCGGCACCCCGGCTCTACCCGCGATTCGAGCTGATCGTCGCACCGGCTCTGACATCACACCCGCGCGCCTCCTGCGTCCCGCCGCGGCGGCCCTCCGGGGCTGCGCGTTTTCCCTCAGCCCGCCTTGCGCGCTCGCCGCCCCCGCGCTGGTATGTGAGTCTATCCCCCGGTTTTTGCGAGTTTCGCCCTCCGCGGGCGTGTCCTCATCCTCACCGGCGCTGCTCGCGCCCGCCGCCGCCGCCGCGTCGCCGCTTTCGCCGCGAGCAGGCCCCCCCCCCGATCCCTTATCTTCCTGCTCCCCCCCTTCTGCTCCTGACTCCTCCACACTCTCTGGAGTTTCAGGACGCCCTTGGGGTTTGTTGCATTTTTTGATCGGGGGTTTTAATATTTTTTCCTGCTCTCTTTTTTCGAGAGCCTTTTCCCCCTGGCCTTTTAAAGCCAGAGCTAATTTTTTCCCGGAGCTCTGCCGCTCCGCCCCCTGCTCTGAGGGTGCCGCAGCTTCTCGCTGCTTCTCCAGTTTTTTAGACTGGACTGCAATACCTTGTAACATGATTCTTGCCGGCGAGAGTAGCTTTAACGCTGTCTCATCTTTTTTTGTTGCTAAAATATATAAATGCCTATTAATCTCTTGCCAAAACCCGACTTCGAACAAAAGATATGTCTCTGCAAGTGGGTAATTGAGCCTTGCCCATAATAACAGCTGTTTTAATTCTTTCTTTGGGATCCCTTCTGTATATAATTCTGCTACACTTTGTAAGGTGGATAAGATTTCCCGTTGTTCTTGGGAGAGTGTTGCCCCCATAATATTATTTTGGCCTTCTTACCGAATCTGTCGCCAGCGTGGTCTGGAGGCCCTTGTTCTCCGTCCAGCAGATTACGAGGGATGGATCAGAGGCGCCTTTCTGGTCCCAGTCCAGGCCGCTCTGCTACGAGCTGTCTTCAGCAGAAGCTGAGAGATGGGATTTCTCAGTGACTGCTGATTTTTGCAGCTTCTCCCGGCTGGTTTTTTCTTTTTCTTCTTTCTTTCTTCAGGCTTCCCTCCTCTGGAGTTATCAGTGCTGTTCTCTTGGCTCTTCAGCTCTTCAGGGCTTTCCCCCCCCCGAAAGGTTTGGTGGGAGATAGCCCACCCAGGGACGCCAGTTGTGGGATTTCCGGGCTGTTCAGATGGTCTGGGGAAAAGCCCAAAGATGGCCTTGGGCCCCCGGGTTCGAAAGGACGAGAGGAAGCTTCAGATTTGTTCTTGGTCTTGGTGTTTATTAATTGCTTATCTAAAAGATTTTCTCTTGGCCTGACAGAGTTCTGCTCAGCAGTCAGCCATGGGCACACACTGAAAGCCCCTGGGGCGGTCACCTATCTTTATACCCGGAGTTACGTATACAATATTTATCATTTTTCTCCAATACCCTCTACCCTTATTAACCAGTGTTCCCCTAGTAAGGTCCAATCCCGGAGTGCCAACATCACCACAGAAGATGGAGGTCTAGAGGAAGAAGAAGAAGGAGAAGGGCACGCCCCAATTCCTCCATCTTACTTCTCTAGACCCCCCTGTACAGAAATCTTAAGCCCTGTATCTCACACCCCAATTAACTTGTCCCTTCACCATTCACCCCAGTGAAATCCTCCCATCCTCATACTGATGTCATCTCCCATGTGGGATCAAAGTCCAGCCACCAGACATCTCTGGCAGCATTCCAGGACTCCCGAGCCCCCCAGGGGGGGGTCTTGTTCACCCTGCACCCCAGTTCTGAGAGACTGAGATCCCACACACGGGAACAGGAATGGGGTGAGGGGCTGGGGATTGGGGGAAGGGTCACTGTGGAGACAGTTGGTGACCATCACGGTGGTGGGAACACTGACGTTGCCGCTCCCATTAGCAGCAGCACTCTGAGAGCCGTAAGTACTACTGGCACGTTTTGTGCAGAAATAAACGGCGGAATCCTCATCCTTGAGGTTGTTCATGGTCAGCGTCACCGAGCTCTGGCCGTTGTCCCTGGAGATCGTGAACCGGCCCTTGACCGACGGCGCGTAGCCGGTGCCGCCGCCACTGCTGCTGATGCTGGCGATATATTTCAGTGTCCGCCCGGGTCTCTGACGGATCCAGATCATTCCAAAATTCCCGAAATCAAACCCAGTGGCGCGGCACAGCAACGTCAGGGACCCCCCGGGGGGCTGGAGTTCCCCCCCGCACTCCAGCAGGGTCACGGCTGCCCGGAGCCCTGAGGGACAAAGGGGAGGTGGGGAGGAGGCCCGCGATCCAGGTGTGGACCCAGCTGGGGGTGACCAGATCCAAAAAGGGGCCTCGAGCCCCCTGGGAGGGCCAGCAGGATGGGGAGGAGGAGAAAGTTCCACAATTTGGGGCCAACATCAGGATCTGCATGCAGGAATCAACATTTGGATGGATTTTTTTCCCTCATCCCCAACTCCCCTTTGTCCCGCAGGGCTCCGGGCGGCCGTTACCCTGCTGGAGTGGGGGGGGGACCTCCAGCCCCCCGGGGGGTCCCTGTGCCTCCTCTGCCGAGGGTCCGGGTTCGATTTCAGGAGCAATGGAATGTTCTGGATGTGCCAGAGACCCGGGCAGGCGCTAGAGTGGCTCGTGGGGATCAGCAGGGACGGTTCCAGCGCCAGCTACGGGACGTCGTTCAAGGAGCACGTGAGGATCTCCAGGGACAACAGGCAGAGCTCGGTGACGCTGACCATGAACAACCTCAAGGACGAGGATTCCGGATCCTATTTCTGTGCCAAATATGCTGATAATTATTCGGGGAATAATGCTTATAATGTTGACCCCATCTCCATGGCTCTGCCCCCTCCCGTCCCCGTTTCCCAGCCCCTTCCCCAATCCCCAGCCCCTGACCCCATTGCTGTCCCCGTGTCCCAGCTCTGAGCAGGCTCTGCCCCAATCTCAGCTCTTGGACCCAAACCTCAGCTCTGGGCTCAAACGTTCAACCAAGGTCTCCAAACCTGGGTGCAGATGATTGAGATTTGGGAAAAAGGGGTCAGATTTGGGTCCGTGGCTGTGACTCAGATCAACCACTGAAATTCTGGGCCAGAATGGGTCCAGTCTGGGGGCAATGGTTGGGATTGGAGGGCTGAGGCTGAGCTCACGGTGAAACCAGCTCTGATTTGGGGCCAGGAGCTGAGATTTGGGGCCAGAGCAGGGCAGGGTTGGGACAAAGGGTCAGGAGTGGGGTCAAGAGTGGGAGTGTGGGGGAAGAGTCTGGGGAATGGGGCCAGGAGGGACACGGGGATGGGGCCGAAATGTCAAACATCAGCAGCATAAGGAGCAGCACCAGCACCAGTGCGTTTGGCACAGAAATAGGATCCGGAATCCTCGTCCTTGAGGTTGTTCATGGTCAGCGTCACCGAGCTCTGCCCGTTGTCCCTGGAGATTGTGAACCGGCCCTTGACCGACGGCGCGTAATAGGTGCTGCCACCATCGTTGCTGATCCCCGCGAGCCATTCCAGCCCCTACCCGGGTCTCTGGCGGATCCACAGCATGGAGAAACTGCTGAAACTGAACCCGGACCCTCGGCAGAGGAGGCGTAGGGACCCCCCGGGGGGCTGGAGGTCCCCCCTGCACTCCAGCAGGGTCACGGCCGCTCCCCCATCCCCAAACCTTCGCTGGTTTTACCCCAAATTCCCTTTGTCTGGCCCCAAATCTCCAAGAGCGATTTCCAGAATTGTAAAGTGCCTTCAACCCTGCAATGAGCCCCAATCCACCCATTAAATATTTCGACAGCTCTGTCTGACTTTTGCAACGCCCCATCCCCATCTCCTCTCCGTCCCAGTGCGGAACGGGGATCGCTCCAGGGCCCTTTGCACACAAAGCTTTTTGTGCAGCCGGCGCTCTGCCGCAGCGCCCCGAGGCTGAGCTGTCCTCTGCCAAACACAGATGTTCACAACGACCAAAACCAGGAACTTTCTGTTTCCTTTCCCGCCCCGGCCGCGCCCCGGCAGCTTCTGGGGAGGAAGTGGGGGGAGACTGCGGAGCCCCAAAATCGCGCCGTCTTCTCTTCCCTCCCTCCCTCGCTCGCTCCCGCCTGGGGCTTCACCTCTCCCTCAGTGGCCGTGGTGTCTGGGGCTGCTCCTTGGGGCTGGGCTGGAATCCTCTCTGGGGGCTCTGGAGAAAAAACCCCCTTTTTTAACCAAAACACATGAAATTTTGGGGAGATGAAATTTTTGAAATTTATCTCGAGCCAAGGGCTCCATGCTGAGAGAAGGAGATGGGTGCAAGGGTGGAGTCACCTGGAACGTTCCATGCGTCAAGGGCAGGGTCAGAATGGCCAAGGAGAGCTCAGGAGCCAAAATGGCCCCGAGTGGGCCCCGAGCTGAGGTGTGGGGCCAGGAGCTGAGAATGTGGGGCAGAGCCATGGCAGGGTTCGGGCACGGGGACTGGAATTGGGTCAGGGGCTGGAATTTGGGGGAAGGGTCTGGGGAACGGGGACACGGGGGACACAGCGATAAGGGTGGGGTCAAAACGATCAGGAGCAGCCCAACCATCAGCAGCAGCTTTGGCACAGAAATGCGATCCGGAATCCTCGTCCTTGAGGTTGTTCATGGTCAGCGTCACCGAGCTCTTCCCGTTGTCCCTGGAGATCCTGAACCAGCCCTTGACCGACGGCGCGTAGGCGGTGCTGGAACCAGCAGGGCTGCTGATACCCGCGAGCCACTCCAGCCCCTGCCCGGGTCTCTGGCGGATCCAGCCCATCCCAAAACTGCCAAAACTGAACCCGGCCCCTCGGCAGAGGAGGCGCTGGGACCCCCGGGGGGGCTGGAGTTGCCCCCCGCACTCCAGAAGGGTCATGGCTGCTCCACCATCCACAAACCTTCTCTTGTTTTGCCCCAGAATCCTTTTTTCTTGCGTCAAATGTCTAGCAGAGGTTTCCTGTATTGAAAAGTTCCTGAAAACCTGCAATGAGCCCCAATCCACCCATTAATTAATTGGACACCTCAGCCTGACTTTTGCATCGCCCCATTCCCATCTCCCCCTTTTTCCCGCTGGGCTCCGGGCGGCTGTGACCCTGCTGGAGTGCGGGGGGGACCTCCAGCCCCCTGGGGGTTCCCTGCGCTTCTATGCCGAGGGTCCTGGTTCGATTTTGGCAGTTTTGGGATGGTCTGGATCCGCCAGAGACCCGGCAGGGGCTGAAATACGTCACAAGGATCAGTGACAGTGGAGGTTACACCAAGTACGCGCCGTCAGTCGAGGGCCGGTTCACGATCTCCAGGGACAACGGGCAGAGCTCGGTGACACTGACCATGAAGAACCTCAAGGATGAGGATTCCGGATCCTATTTCTGTGCAAAAGCTCCTGCTGGTGGGGGTGCTGCTACTGCTGATTATATGGACGATGCCCTTGCTGTCCCCATCTCCTCGTCCCCCCTGTCCCCGTTGCCCAGACCCTTCCCCCAAACCCCCAGCCCACACCCAGCCCTTGACCATTGATCCCAACCTTGCTCTGCCTCGGCCCCAATTCTCACCCGCTGACCCCAAACCACAACTCCTGACCCAAAATCTCCACTTGGTGCCCCAAAACTTGATTCTGAAAGTGGATACTTCAAGCCAAGGGTTAAGGTTTGAGTCAAGTTTGTGGTAATGTGCAGAGACCAGATTTCGGGCCGAACCACTCCAAGACTGGCACATGGGGACAGGAATGGGGTCCAGGCTTGCGGTTTTTGGGAAGGGTCCAGAGAATGGAGATACGTGGTGACCGGGGAACAGGAACACAGCCAAATGCAAACAAAACATGAGAGTGACCAATACCTGCAGCAGCACCCCAACCAGCACTACCAACAACACTTCTGCCACAGAAATAAGATCCGGAATCTTCGTCCTTGAGGTTGTTCATGGTCAGAGTCACTGAGCTCTGCCCGTTGTCCCTGGAGATCCTGAACCGGCCCTTGACGGAATCCGCGTACCAGGTGGTGCCACCGGTGTTACTGACACTCGCGACCCACTCCAGCCCCTGCCCGGGTCTCTGGCGATACCAGCTCACGTGGAAACCACCGGAACAGAACCCGGACCCTCGGCAGAGGAGGCGCAGGGTCCCCCCGGGGGGCTGGAGGTGCCCTCCGCACTCCAGCAGGGTCACGGCCGCCCGGAGCCCTGTGGGACAAAGGAGAGATGCAGATGAGAGACCTGAGTGTGTCATAGGATGGGGACCAGGAGACCAGCTGGTTCATCACAGGTCCAGTTTATTGAAGAAAGCATCAAACACTTATACAGCAAATAATAAGTTTATGAATATTCTATAAGCCAAGCAATCTATTGGTTAAACTATACCATGAACTCTTCCTCATTCCTTAGGGGTTACATCTCTCTTTTCTCATGTCTCTTTCACTGTTTTTTATCCTACTGAAGCTAGGCCCAAGGACACACTATCTCACAGGTGCAAGATTTGGAATTAGCCACGGCTTTGTACTTTTCCATTCTCTAGTCTGCTAAATTTCCCAACAACAAACCACAACTCCCGACCCCAAATCTCCTCTTTGTGCCCCATAACTTGGTTCTGAACGTCGGGGTTTGAGGCCCAGGGTCCCGATTTGGGGACAAAGGTTGTGGATTCGTGTCAGCGGCTGTGGCTGGGAGCACTAAGTGAGGATTTGGGGCAGAATTGGGTGAGTTTTGGGGCCAAAGCAGTTGGGTTTGGGGCACGACCACTTTGGGGGTTTTGGATCCATGGTTGGTGGTGTGGGAAATGGGGAAGATCTGGGACAAAGGGTCAGGAATGGGGACACGGACTGAGATTTGGGGGAAGTTTCTGGGGATTGGGGACAGGAGGGGATCCAGTCAAGGGCAAGAGGCCAAGAGCAGAGACATCATTAACCCACCTGGCACCAGCAGCTTTGGCACAGAAATAGGATCCAGAATCCAGTCTTTGAGGTTGTTCATGGTCAGCGTCACCGAGCTCTGCCCGTTTTCCCTGGAGATCCTGAACCGGCCCTTGACCGAATGCGCGTAGCTGGTGCTGTCAGTGGTGCTGATATCTGCAATGAACTCCAGTGCCTGCCCGGGTCTCTGGCGGATCCAGGCCATCACAATAATCCCAAAATCGATCCCGGGCGCTCGGAAGACGAGGCGGTGGGACCCCCCGGGGGGCTGGAGTTCCCCCCCGCACTCCAGCAGGGTCGCGGCCGCCCGGAGCCTTGCGGGATGACGGGGAGATGGGGGATGAGGAGCCGGACCCGGGCGTGAGCCCTGCTGGGGTTGACCAGATCCAAAAAGGGACCTGGACCCACCTGGGAGGGCCGGCAGGATTGGGAGGAGGAGAAAGTGCCACAATTTGAGGCCAACATCAGAATCTGCATGCAGGAATCAACATCTGGGTGGATTTTTTCCCACATCCCTATCTGCCCTTTGTCCCGCAGGCCTCTGGCCCGCCGTGACCCTGCTGGAGTGCGGGGGGGACCTCCAGTCCCCCGGGGGGTCACTGATGCTGCTGTTCCGAGGGTCCGGGTTCAGTTTCGGGGGTCAGTCCATGCAATGGATCCGCCAGTGCCCCGGGCAGGGGCTGGAATGGGTCACGGGGATCCACAGCCCCGGGGGTTTCACCGACTGCTCCCCGTAGGTCAAGGGCCGGGTCAGGATCTCCAGGGACAACGGGCAGATCTTCACAGCACTGACCATGATCAACCTGCAGGACGAGGATTCCGGATCCTCTTTCTGTGCCAAAGCCACTGGGCTGATTGAGATGACCATGATGCCAATGCTATAGACTCCACCCCTCTTGTTGTGTCCCCAAATGTCCCCATTCCCCAGACCCTCCCCAAAATCCCAGCCCATGACCCAATTCCTGTCCCTGTGCCCCAACCCTGCCATGGCTCTGCCCCACATTCTCAGCTCCTGGCCCCACACCTCAGCTCGGGGCCCACTCGGGGCCATTTTGGCTACTGAGCTCTCCTTGGCCATCCTGACCCTGCCCTTCACCAATGGAACTCTCCAGGTGACTCCACCCTTGCACCCATCTGCTTCTCTCAGCATGGAGCCCTCGACTCGAGATCAATTTGAAAAATTTAATTTCCCCAAAATTTCTTGTGTTTTTTGAGGTAAAAAAGGGGGGTTTTCTCCAGAGAGAGGATTCCACCCCCAGCCCCAAGGAGCAGCACCAGAAACCGAGGCGACTGAGGGAGAAGTGAAGCCCCAGGTGGGAGCGAGGGTGGGAGCGAGGGTGGGAGGGAGGAGAAGACACCGCGATTTTGGGGCTCCGCCGCCTCCCCCCACTTCCTCCCTGGCAGCTGCCAGGGCCCGGCCGGGGCAGGAAAGGAAACAGAAAGTTGCTGGTTTTTGTCATTGTGAACATCTGTGTTTGGCAGAGGGCAGCTCAGCCTCTGGGCGCTGCGGCAGAGCGCCAGCTGCACAAAAAGCTTTGGGTGCAAAGGGCCCTGGAGCGATCCCCGTTCCGCACTGGGACGGAGGTGAAGGGCCAGACTGGGTAGAAATAGGATAAATTGGGGGAAATTGGGAACTGGGGAAGTGACGGTGGAGTTTGGGGGAAAATTGTCAAGATGTGAGAAATAGGGGTGAGGATTTTGGGGACGGATTAGAGAATTCTGAGTTATTTGGGAACAGAGAGGACAGGGCTTTGGACCACAACCACCATCAACACCATAACCAGCACTAGCATCAGCACAACTACTGGCATAATATTTGGCACAGAAATAAACAGCGGAATCTTTGTCCTTGATGTTGTTCATGGTCAGCGTCACCAAGCTCTGCCCGTTATCCCTGGAGATCCTGAACCGGCCCTTGACCGACGGCGCGTAGTTGGTGTAAGCACCATTGTTGTGGATCCCTGCGACACACTGCAGCCCCTGCCCGGGTTTCTGATGCATCCGAAACGTTCCATAACTCCCGAAATCGAACCCGCACCCTCGGCAGAGGAGGCGCAGGGACCCCCTGGGGGGCTGGAGGTCCCCCCCGCACTCCAGCAGGGTCACGGCTGCCCGGAGCCCTGCGAGACAAAGGGGAGATGGGGATGAGGCCAAAGCTCAAGCCTTGACCCAAATCTTGACTATTGGCCCCAAATTGGGACCCTTGGAGTTCATCATCCTGCTCCCAGGTGGGTCCCACCCCTTTTTCAAGCATGCCAGGCCTACATGGGCACTCTTCACCAATCAGGTTTCCCATCCCCATCTCCCCTTTGTCCCGCAGGGCTCCGGGTGCCCGTGACCCTGCTGGAGTGCGGGGCAGACCTCCAGCCCCCGGGGGTGTCCCTGACGTTGCTGTGCCGAGGGTCCGGGTTCGATGTCAGTTGCATCACCATGTTCTGGGTCTGCCAGAGACCCGGGCAGGGGCTGGAGTGGGTCGGGAGCATCAGGAAGGAGGGCTGGAGCTCCATGTTCGTGCCGTCGGTGCAGGACCGGGTCACGATCTCCGGGGACAACGGGCAGAGCTCGGTGACGCTGACCATGAACAACCTCAAGGACGAGGATTCCGGATCCTATTTCTGTGCCAAATCTGCTGCTGCTGCTGTTGGTGGTTATAATGTTGGTGCTATTGGCCAGGTATTGGGACGCGCCTGTCCCCGTTCCCCAGACCCTTCCCACCAAACCCTGACCCCACTCCTGCCCTTTGTCTCAACTTTGCCCGGCTCTGAACCCACATAGCTCCGGGCCCCAAGTCTCAGCTCCGGCCCCCAAATCTCAGCTCCTGGCCCCAAATCTCAGTTCCTGGCCCCAAATCAGGGCCGGTTTCGACCCTGAGCTCAGCCTCGTCCCTCCAATCCCAATCACTGCCCCCAGACTTGTCCAGTTTTACCCCGAATCTCCCCTGGGGGCACCCAGTGATAGCCACCGACCCAAATCTGGCCCATTAGCCACACATCGGGAATTTCAGGCTAAAATTTGAATTTTTGACTCCTGACCTTATCTTTGGCCCCAAATTTTGAAAAATTAAATGTAATTTGAGGAACGAGGGCACTGAGTGCGGCCCAGAGCGGACATTTGGTGCAGAGCCAGAGCAGGGCTGGGAGAGGGTGAGGAAATGGGGTAAGGGGTTTGGTTATGGGGGTGAGGTAAGGGGTTGGGGTATGGGGACGGGTCTGGGGAATGGGGACAGGTAGGGATGCAGAGATGGGGACGGGGCCAATAGCATAACCAGGATTAACATTTCCAGAAGCAGTGGTTTTGGCACAGAAATAGGTGGCGGAATCCTCGTCCTTGAGGTTGTTCATGGTCAGCGTCACCGAGCTCTGCCCGTTGTCCCTGGAGATCGTGACTCGGCCCTTGACCGACGGCGCGTACCAGGTGCCACCTCTGCTGCTGACACTTCCGACGCACTCCAGCCCCTTCCCAGGTCTCTGTCGAACCCAATCCATTTCAAAACTCCTGACACTGAACCCAGACCCTCGGCACAGCAACGTCAGGGACCCCCCGGGGGGCTGGAGGTCCCCCCCGCACTCCAGCACAGTCATGGCCGCCCGGAGCCCTGCGGGACAGAGGGGAGATGGGGATGAGAAATCTGATTGGTCCAGAAGAGGAAAAGGGGCGTGACTTCCAGGAAAAAGGGGCGGTGCCACATGGGAGGGGCAGCAGGAGCAGCAGGGCCAGGAGCCGAAGGGAGCTCGAGTCCGTGGCCGGGATGTGCACGGGTTGGGGTCCCGGGGGGAATTGGGTGTCGTTAACAGTGTATTAACTGTGTAATCAATGCAGAATGCTCAGGATGAGGTGTCTAAGTAATTAAAGAATTGATTTGGGTTAATTGCAGGGTTGAGGCATGTTTAGATATGGAAAAGTCTGGTGGGGTTTTGGGGCTAAACCAGGGGAGTTATGAGAGAAATTGGTGAAGGTTTGGGGATGGGCTCCGGGCGGCCTTGACCCTGCTGGAGTGCGGGGGGGACCCCCAGCCCCCCGGGGGGTCCCTGTGCCTCCTCTGCCGAGGGTCCAGGTTCAGTTTTGGACAATTTGGGATGGGCTGGATCTGCCAGAGACCCAGGTAGGGGCTGGAATGGCTTGCGGGGATCACTAACACTGGTGGAAACATCGACTATGCACCATCTGTCAAGGGCCGGTTCAGGATCTCCAGGGACAACGGGCAGAGCTCGGTGACGCTGACCATGAACAACCTCAAGGATGAGGATTCCGGATCCTATTTCTGTGCCAGGGCTTTTTGTGCCGGTTGTTGGGCTGTTGCTAATCATGGTGACAATGCTGTTGATAGCGTCAAACTTCTAGATTTTGCTCCTGTCCAATCATTGGATCTCCAAATTTTCGATTTTCATCCCAAACCTCACCTCCTGTCTCAGATCTTGACCCTTTGTCCCCATTTGCATCAATGGTCAGCACTGACACCAAACCCTCGCCTGTTTCTGCCCCAAAACTCAACCATTGGCCCTAAACCTTCACCCTGACCCTTTGTCCCAGCCCTGCCCCCATTGCCCCAATGCTGCCCATTGGCCCCTAACCCTCCCCTGGGCCTGGCCCCAAAGTCAACTCTCGGCCCCAAACCTCACCCTGGTCCCCCAAATGTGCCCAAAGGGCTGAGATTTTGGGTGAAATTTGGAAAATTCTGTGACCAACTCTGTTGGGTTTGGGGCAACACCAGACGGGGTTTGGCGTCTTTGATCACTATGGGTGGAAATGGGGCAGATCTGGGACAAAGGGGCAAGACCTGGGGCTGGGGTGTGAGGGAAGGGTCTGGGGTTTTGGGGACAGGTGGGGACACAGCGATGGGAAGGGATCCACCAATGGTGCATTTACAAATAGCAGGAGGGCCCCAATTATCAGCATAAGCACGCTTGGCGCAGAAATAGGATCCAGAATCCTCGTCCTTCAGGTTGTTCATGGTCAGCGTCAACGAGCTCTGCCCGTTGTCCCTGGAGATCCTGAACCGGCCCTTGACTGATGGCGCATAGCCGGTGCTACGACCATTGTAGCTGATACTGGCGATGAATTCCAGCCCCTGCCCGGGTCTCTGGCGCATCCATCCCATTGCAACACCCCCAAGATTGGACGCGGCCCCTCGGCAGAGGAGGCTCAGGGACCCCCCGGGGGGCTGGAGGTGCCACCCGCATTTCAGCAGGGTCACGGCTGCCCGGA